ATACTGTCAAGTGTCCTCGTCTTTGCTTCTCTACAGCAAATCAAGTAATCCAAAGTATTCAGATTACGTTACTCACTTTAAGTAATTTAATGGATTCCGTTACAAACTACATTTTGGGGTATGTAATCTGTAATCTGTAGGGGAATACATTTTAAAAGTAACCTTCCCAACACTGGAGTGTATGTCGTGTATATCGTGTATGTTTCTGTCACACTCATCTTTCTGGTTGTATGAATCTGAGTGCCGGTTGAGGAAATGTTGTAATGTTGTGTAACAGTAATGGGCGGGTATTTTCTTATAAAGGTTTGATACAAAAACAAAAGTAAAACTGGTGTGTGTGTGTGTGTGTTTATTTTGTGTAACTTGGACAGAGCGTTTAATGTATTTGATAGTAGCTACTTTATCTTCCCCACTCCACAATCTTGCTCTATCTGCAATCACATCTGTTGTTTAATGGCCAGTGTACAAGCAATTTACCTCATGCAGTCTTATCTGATAGTACAAATGTAATCTATCTTACACTTTTATCACTTTTATGGAGGCCGACTGTGAAATCACAACATTGTAATTGCCCCTCATCTGGCAAATCCAGGTACTTAGAGGCGTTTTCTTCTTTTCTTTTTTTTTTTTTTTTTTTTCTTTTTTTGCCCGGAGACAGTAAGGGGAGACACAAAACAGGATATTCTCCACTTTATTAAAGGTGCACTAATGTAATGTTTCAGGTGGGGGGTTCATTACCTACTTGTCTCTATGAGCATGTTAATGCAACGCCATTTTTAATATACAAATAAATAATAGTTCCACAAAATGACAAGAAATTCAGAATCTATTTTGCATTTATTTGATTAGCCTGCACATATTAACATGCCTTTTTTACTGAGTGGTCAAACATTTTCACAGATCTGAGCTCTTAGTTGGTCCTGGTGACGTCATCTCCATGGAGATAAAAGCGTTAAATGCCATACTGAGGAACATTCAATAACAATAATGATCTACAATAACATCATATGATTTCAGTTTCAGTTTTTAGGAAGTGTAAAGCACAGAAAGTTGGGATAGCAATTAGGGATGTAACAATAATCGAAATATCGTAATATTGCATTGTCAAATTTCTCGCAATAATATCGTGGACCATCACAATATATCAAATTACAAGTCTCTTTGCTTAAATTAAGAGTTATAGTACAGCAATAGCTAAAAAAAAAAAAAAAAGACAGAGAGAAATACATAGACCATGATCCTTTGCTCCATTTCAGTGCAGACTACATGAAGAAATAACAGTTCTAAGTCTTAGTTCTTTGGATTAGTTCTTGTCAAGGCATTTTAAGAAGAAAAAGAAGCATATTAACAGTTTTGTAAGCCTCCACAAAATATCGCAATAAATATTATACCGTGAGATGTATATCATGAAAATATTTGGATATCGTTATACCCCTAAAAGCAATAGGTGACAAGGTTACAACTCTGAATGCCAGTACACGCAAAAGAAAAGAAAAGGAAAAAAAGGTCTTTGTAAATCTCTATGTGAAATGTGTTTTTCTATAACTCTTTTGAAATCTTGATATAATTTTATGCTTTTTTATACATTGTGGAGTGCTTTTTCATGTAAACCTTTGTTGCCTAAAAAAAAATACTACAAACCAAATATGGCAGTCCATTCCTGTGCACGCGTGTCCCTGCACTCCTCTTTGTTCCTCGTTGGGCTGGAGGAGAGACGTGCCGCTGGGGGAGCCCTCTGATTGGCTGAGCGGATGCAGCCCCTCCACCATCACTGTCTGCCCCTGCATCACTCCCTCTTTTTGCACCCCATCCTTATCCCCAGCCCCTGTGTTTTTCCCCCCTTTCAGAAACGTCTGCGAGCGTTCCCATGGCAACTGTCGCACTGCCTGCCTAGCAACAGGCTCCATCCTTTCAGTGATAAAAAGGGGGGCAGACCTGGGGGAGGGTGTGAGGTGAGGTGGCAGCATGTTTGTGTTGCAAAGAGTTTTCCTCTCACCATCACTTTTTAAAAATTATTGTTAAATATAATTACATTTTCACATTTTATTTTAGTGCTATTTTAATTTTTTGAATCACCTCTTACGCTGTGTATGAATTGCTGCTGTTGTTAGGTGCAAACAAAATATAGATCTATGTGTAAACAATGAATTTAATAGTTTTTATCTACTTAAGGAATGTTATAGTGTACGTAGAATAATAAAAAATAAAGTATGCAAGCTTACAGGTTATTGTTATTATTGTTAGCCTTTTTTGTTTGTTTATTGAGAAATTTGGTTAATAAAAAATGCATATAGATTTGTATAAAAGCATTCAGACATTACTGCTTCTGGAGATCCCCAAAGTGATCCTTTAATTTAAGTTTGTCAAAAATGTAGAAAACCATTTTAGCTGCAGCCCCAGTCGCCCACTGGTCTATTCCTGTCTCTGTTGTAACTGTCTTCTTAATATGCAGCGAGATCAGACTCAGTAAGTGACACACCCAGAGTGGGCACACTATTATTAGAATCCTCATCTCATTTCATTTGAGTTTTCATATTTAATATTTACCCAGCTTATATTAGTCTTATATATCTGCATATATTGGATTCTGAAATTATTGGAATTTTAAACACACAAGAGACATTATTATTATTATTATAAAAGATGTCATGTTTCTGAAAAAAATGTAGATAATTATGATAAGCAATCTAATAACTGTAAAAAAAAATATTGTTAATACCAATAATAGCAACTCCTTTTGCTGCTGCCAATAAGACTAGGTTACAAATAAAAGGTTACGTGACAGACTCCAAACACACATTTTAGTCTCTGCTGCCCTCTAGCGGCGTGAATCAGAACTCCTGACGCCTATTGCAGACGTTTGTGTTTATTTACGCAACAAACTCATAACGTGTGGGCCACTGACTGCGGGTTGCGTAAGCGTTACAGTGAATGTAATTACATGGTTGGAATGGTACAAATTCGCCGCCGGCTCCTGCTATAATTAAAGTGTTTTCTGAAGTGAGTCTTGTGTAAGTGTTGTAGACGCACCCTCAAACGATCCGCCTGGTTGCCTCACGTAAATGGGAAAGGTAGACTGGCTTACTGGTTAAGTCTGGGACGCCTACGCACCTAAAGCAATGCCTTGTCTAGTGTCTATACTTTTCAATGCTGGCTAATTACTGCGTGAATGGAGGACTGTGAAAGGGCCAGTGTTCCTCTATTTTCTCATCTCTGTTGTAATGGTCTGAGTTTTGTTTCATCCACACATGTTTAACACACAAACCACTGCACAGTCCCTATTTAGACCGACTTCTTTTCTCAAACAGAAAACATTGTTGTAATGTGACAATACAAGAAGTGCTCCACTGTGTTTTTAAGCTCATTACACTTTCTCATTTGGATAACTTAAGTATTTAATTGCAAATCTCTACAGAACAAAAGGTAGAAAACTACAGCTTCATGAATTCACCAAGTGGAACAGAGCATTGTGAGCTTCAAAGATGTAGATCAGACATGTCAAACTCAGGCCCGGGGACCAAATTTGGCCCACGATATAACTATATTTGGCCCATGAGATCATATAAAATATGTATTAGAGCTGGCCCGCAGGCTACAGATAGGCTATAGAGACATTCTTTATTTTAAATTGTGTCATTATTTTATATTATGCTTGTTCTAGATTCAATGTTTAAGCAAAACTATTATTAAACATTTATTTTAATAAGAAAAGGTTTAACATTACATATCTTGAAAGAAAAGAAAACATGCAGATGTTGTTGAAATCTTTCAATAAATATTAGTTTGGCCCTCGTCCCAGTTTTTAATTTTGGCCTTCTGTGAATTTGAGTTTGACAACCCTGATGTAGACAGACTCATAATAAAGATTAAAAAAATAAATAAAAAAATCTTTATTTATTTGTAAAGGGACAGCACATATTATCCATCCATCCATTTTCTTCCTCTTATCCGGGGCCGGGTCGCGGGGGCAGCGGTCTAAGCAGAGGCTCCCAGACTTTCTTCACCCCAGACACTTTCTCCAGCTCCTCTAGGGGGACCCCAAGGCGTTCCCAGGCCAGCAGAGAGACATAGTTCCTCTAGCGTGTCCCGGGTCTTCCCACAGCACATATTAATGAACATTTAAAATCTAAATATGTAAGGATTACAGACAGTGTGGCTAATTTCCATCTTCAGTCCCTTGGCAGGTTTATGTGAAATCATCTACTGGACAGGGAAAAGTACAGCAACAAGCATACAAAAGGACATAAAACCAGCACACTCACTGTACATACAACACAATCCCTGTACACACAATTCATTTCAAACTGTTTATTTGAAGTTCAAAGTGAAGAGTTAAAGAGTTAAACCAACAACCCCTCAATATTAAAATGTAATTTGGATAACCATAGGACATATTTGGCCATTGAACAACCACTGTTTTAAAGCTTTATAAAATGCTGCCAGTGTTGAAAGTTTTCTGCTTTGACTCTGTTTAAATCCAAGCTCAAAACGGTTCTGTTTAGCTGTGCATATGACTAAAAGGTTTTCATTCCGCACTCTTCTCTCTTCTCTCTAATTTATGTCATTAATGTCTCTCTCTTTTCAATTGTATGATGATTATTTATGTTTTGATGTGTTTTTATTGTGAGTTTGATGTATTTCTTATTCTGTAAAGCACTTTCAATTACTTTGTGTACAAATTGCTGGACAAATAAACTTGCCTTGCCTCGTATATGAGCAGGCTCTGTATTCTATGTTTGACCTGCTCGATAAGTAAAAGAGAGCTGTCCAAAAGCACTTTTTCTAAACGGCACAGAGCTGTCACCTCTCGAGCTGCTCTTGATGTGCGATTTGAATTTCTTTTCACAAACTCCTTTAGAGGAGGTGGAGCAAGACCGAATTACTCAGACATGAATGAATGAAACAAAACACAACTCTGTGTATGTTTTTGACTGACATGACATGATTTAAAGCTCATGAGAGTCTTTAAATAAACTTATAAAATAAATCCAGTGATTCAATTCAGTGTGATAAAAAACAAGCATTTATTTTCAAATATATAATATATATAAGTGTACAGACAGCAGACATAATATTATAAACCGTTTTCACCCATGCATAAACAGTAGATCACTGTAGTTACACTTCCTGAATGGTCATGTGACTCCCCAAAACATTTACAATAATACAACATATGTCACAATGTTACGAGGTCTTACCAGGTATAGTTATTATTTTACATGAACTCACCAAACCTGCTTCAGTGATGGGAACATGGTGCGTTCAGAATCTCTATGTTAATTCTCTGTATGCCTCATTGCGTTTGCTCTGTCTCAATCTAATCCTGATTTACAGTTTGTTGCTGTAGTTGTCACAGTGTTGGTAAAGAAGCTATAATACACAAAACATAATTACACTAGTCTCCCTGTGTCAGCGAGGGTCTGAGCCAAAACCATTATTTAAATACACAGACAACAGTAATGGATCAAGACAGTACATGTACAGTACAATAGGTATAAAAACAATGTAACAGAATTGCTTGGACACGTTCAATAAGTTTACATGCACAACAGTGGATCTTAGTGCAAAGTTCAGTTATCCTTTTCGTGTGTCTTTTTTTCTTCCTTTTACATTCTTGTCATAAGGTGCAAGTTAACCCTGAAAATCATTTGCGTAACAGTGTTTGGTTCTAATTCTCAAGATTTTTTTGCTAAACTTTAATGACAAGGTAGCAACAAAAAGGGCTGGTGAATGTTCACTATTTAAAGAATGTATTTAGAGTCCGACTTTAGTCAGACAAAGCATGTAAACATATTGATCGCAAACATAAATTATCAGCTAGACTTTGGCCATGAGTTGTTCTGTGAAGAGTCTCTTGAGTTGGGCCACCTCCTCTGTCAGGGAGGAGATCTGGGACTTAAGCGTATGGTTCTCCTGACGGTAAACGTCACTGTGGCCGTGCCTGGGGGACTGGCCAGCTGTGGGAGGCGGGGCGTACTGTTGTGGAGACCTTCTGGCTCTGTCCTCTGCGTCTCCATGGTTACCCCACTGTCCATGTTCCATATTATATCCTTTAGTGTGCGTGTCCGCTGTCTGCTCGCTGCCTTCTCCGTTTGTCTTGAAGCGCAGTTTGTGAGGCAGGTTTTTGAATGTCTCTGGCTGGTCCGACTTTGGGGCCGCTGGCACAATTGGGCTGTGGTGGACCTCACTGGGAGAATGGTGCATCTCGTAGCCCAACTCCTCTCCTCGATGTGGGGAGAGTTTCTCATGGTCGCTCAGGCGATCTTCAAAGAAAACCGGGCTGCCCACACTTGAGCCGCCAGGTGTTGAGAACCCTGAATCTTCTGACACATGCCCTGCTTCCCTGTTAGCCCTGGATGCTAAATGACCGATCTGATTATTGTTATGAATGGGAGCTGGGATATTAGGATCTCCCCTTTGGAGGTAATACTGAGCATTCGTCTGCGGGGGCTGTGTCAGAGGCAGTATTGTAGCATTAGATGGGTCTTTGACAAGCCCGAATCTGAATTTCAGAGCCAACAGCTCAGCCCTAAGACGAGCGTTCTCTTCTAAAAGAGCTAAAACTCTGCTCTCTAAGACCATGTCATTCATGCGGCGCTTCTCTCTGGAGCGTTTGGCTGCTTCGTTGTTCTTCCTCCTCTTGTCCCAGTAGCCCTCATCCTTCTTGTCCTGTGGAATGAACTCTCTCTTGCGCCTCAGGTTGGCAGAGGGGCTCTCTTTGCGTTTGATGGGAGCAGGACGTCCCAGCAGAGATCGGGCCAGGAGGCTGCTCGACGTCAGCATAGACACAGTTTCATCAGTGTAGGAAGTAGTAGCCCCCGGGGACTCCAGGGTCTGGAGTGTAGGTGTTTCCTGTTGACCCTGCATAGTGGCGCTTTCCTTTTCATACATGATTCAAGAAAATCACAGCTCCACCCTGTTAACAAACAGAGGACCAACATTAGTTAGGGGTTAAAAGTTTTAATTCATTGCATTGATTTTCTATATAAATGATTGATTTGTGTTTATTCATGTTTTTCTTATTATTTACAGGATTCAAATGTATTTATTTTATGTAGAAAATAATACAAATACTGAACTGATGCACAGTTGCACACTCCCTACCTGAGTTTCTTAAAGACGTCTTGGGTCTTGTTGCTTGAGCACTGAAGACTGGATGGTGATGGTGGAGTCTGATCAACTGGAAGTCTCTGCAACAGCACCGCCTAGTGCACAAAAGTGCCCCTAAAGAAACAGAGGAAAGGGATTTGGAGGTTACGTAAGAGCCATTACAACACAATATTATGTAACCCTATTACATCTGTCCAATAAAACGGGAGCACCTCGTACCATAACCTGCTATGTCTCAGCACAGTGCAATGTAGGACAATGGCCGTTGTAAATACAAGGCAAGTAAGTTACGTGTCCTATTTTAACACCTCATAATCTGTAATAAACCCGCTTGAATAACAGCTCCATTGACCTATATATGTGCTACGAGAATAAAAGAAGTGTAACATTTGGTTTACTGAAACATACAAGTCATTTTCACAAGCACTGGCATATTAAAGTATTATTATATTTCAAATATAATATAATGTTGTTATATATTTGACAGTGCTAATGTTTATATGGCCGGATAGTAAAAGATAATTCAACTAAGCATAATTATACCGTATGAATCTTATAAACTATACTCCCAAAACGGAGTAAAACAAAACCAAACAAACAACAAACAAAAAATTCGCCAAAGTCAAATTCAATATAGTTTTGTCCGGCGCGAAACGATAATCGTTTTAAAGTTTTTTAGAGCCGTACCTGTCGTAAATAATCCTTAGTTTTGTCCTCCAGTGTGCGTTAAAGTGTCCGTAAATCGTGCGCTCGCTGCGTCTGCTTCTTGTGTCTACCGCGGCTGCTCCATGCGTCTATAATGGTCCGCTCTCTCGTCTCTCTTACTTAATATTACCGCGAGTGAGGTGCACCTCCCTCTGCTCTGCTCTGCTCCACTTGGACTGCCGCAGCTCTTATTTGTAACGTGGAGTTCAGCCCAGGACGGAGGCTATCCTCATGTGAACCGTGTTGGCCCCGCTCCCTGGTATGTGTACGTGAGTGTACGTGATGTATGTGTGAGTGAGAGACGGGCCCGCCTTCCTCTGTACGACACTCTGTGTCCTGTTCTCATCCTCATCAGAGGTGACAGCGCGTACTGGGGACCACCAAAAACATTTAGGCCAAAGTCATGATGAGAGGTGTGCCGCGTGAAGCACGCAAAACAAAGCAGGAGCACATTTATTAACAGCTTACAGTAAACAAATGAGGCAGGTTTATAGAGCACGCCAATGCTCAGAGCTCACACGTATATGTGAAGGTGAGAAGAGAAACCAATCTGTGTTCATCTAAACTATAAAGCAGTAACAGGCTATTTATTTATTTATTTATTTATTTATAATTTTTCATTCATTCATTCATTTTGATGTTTTTTTTTTTTTTGTTTGTTTGTTTTTTTGTTTTTTTTAAATGGCCCAGGCACCATCCCCTCTAAAGTAGTAGGAGTGTGAACATTGTTTTCACATTCAAAAATAGCATAGTAATAATAGTAATACTATCTAATGGTCACTCATAAACTGTCCTACACGGCTGTGCTCTCCAAGCAGGTCACTTAAATGTTGTTGTGCTGTGTTGTGTTACCAACGCCGTTTCTGTGTCACTGTGATCATTTTGCACACACTGTGGACACAGTGTGTACACACTGTGTCGGCCTTTGGCTGTCTAGACCTATTTTTTATTGGCTTATTGAATTTCAACAATTGCTCTTATAATTTCTTTAAAGTTTCCTCATCCTTTTCATGTAAAGTGGCTACTTTTTGCGCACACACATGATTATTTAAGTTTTCTAAAACTGACTTGAAAATGAAGTTTATCTGATGAATAAGAGGTGATCTTTGTTGCAGAATATTACCACAATGTGCTGGCAGATGAAGTTGTTGCTTCCTCCCAAAAGGAGAAGTGTCACAACAGGCAGCATAGTTTAAAAGGGACAAGTCACTGTTGAGTCTCATGAAGGTAAGAGTATATATATTCAGACTGACATCATGCAGTTCTGCTTGTGTGTAAATATAACAAAGAATTCCCACAACATTAACACGTGCTGCTGATATTGTGGAGAGAAACTATTTTCATTTACAATTGTATTAGAATTTAATATGACCATGTCTAGAATTTCCCCTGTTTGTCATAAATATTTACAGTACACCATGAACACAAACGAGAAATCAGAAGTTATGACTATAACTATAAATCCACCTATCTACTATACAGTATAAGTCTATGTCACATACAACATTTTTAAATCATGTTTCATTAATTATAAAATAAAACAATGACATAACATCAGCACAACCCTTCCTACAACTATGACTATGAGAAACCCACTACTAACTATAAACAGTATGCACCATTACTCCTGTCATTACTATTTTGCAAAATGGTCTTGAAACATCCAGTTGTGTGTTGTGTTCATTCTGCCTTTGAGATTTTAAATCCTATGCTCCAGTTACACTCTGAGTTCATGTATGACTCCACAGAGCTTCATGGGAGATGTCATGGTTACATAAGCTTCAGGCTATAGTACATGTTGTTGTTGTAATTGCAGTGTACAGTATTGAGAGCCTGCAGTGACATGTACCTATGTGGATCTGCTGACAGCACGTGGCCCTGCACGCTCCACCTGTCCTCACATGACTGGGTGAATTTCCTCTTGTATTTGGCACTTCTTTACTGTATGTGTTAGGTTAGTGCACAGTTACATATAAGGAATGTTTGTGTAGGTTTAAAGTAAGATCCACTTACTGTAACCTATGGCCCCTCTCTGTTTAAATGTGTTCAGTTTGAGATCAAAAGGACCAGGTCTGTACATGCAAACAACATTCAGAGGTTCTGATGAGTTTGGGCCTTTGCAATATGGTGGATTATTTAAAGTGTAAGAAGTGCAGTTCATAAGTGCTGACATGGTGCCCTTTCATTCAGATAAGCCATGTCTTCTATGTAATCTATTTTTACTATGATGATTTTTTTTTTTAAACAAATAGAATAGTCACATTAATCTGATGAATTGCCCAGCCCTCCTCTTCATTGATGTATGAGTATAAAACCAGTATGCTAAATGGATTGTATGCAATAAAAGATGGATTTGATTTTTGACTGGGCATCCATCATCATTTTTTCTGGTTGGAGTGGAGTCTATGGGCACTTAGATTAACAAATGGCACAGTTGAATGAGTTTTTTGTGTGTGTTTATAAGTCTAAATAGAGGAGGTCTGACCTGTAATTACAGTCATTAGGTTGGCTTTAGTACCAGTAGTGCCTGAATCACATTGAGACAATGTTGGGAATGTTGTCTAAGTTTTTATTTGACACAGTATTGTTGGGTTAATCCATTATTGTGATTATCTGAGTCACAAAACAATTGGCTAAGAGTCATTTCTATAGTACATATATATACAGTACAAAAAATAAACAAACCTAAAGTGCTTTTTATGTGTCAGGTTATGTTAGATTAACATTACTTTCACAAAGTTTGAATTCATAAAGCCAGTTACGTTAGGGATAGTGAACACAAGTAAATGAATGGCTTCACTTTTGTTTAGTCATGCTGCGTATAATTGTAAATGACCGTACCAGTAACACTAAAATATGGTAAATGGTAAAATGGTAAAATTTTTATAAAGCGCTTTTCCACTTTCAAGGCCCTGAAAACTACTCACTCATTCACACATACATTCATATATGATATTATGACATCTCTGTTTGACATTTAATCGTCCTAGAAAACACAAAATTGACTCTTGTGTGCTTTATGCTTTGTTAGAATTTTGTTACCTCCTCAAAAACATATCTGGAGTTGTGTTTTGTTTCATTCCCATATGTCTGAGTAACACTTTATTATTAGTCTTGGCTACATTTCCAAAGCTCAAAATGTTCTGCCCCACCTTATGATGTCATGAAGCTATAATTTTCAATTTAACTGTTAGGGTTTATTTTTTTGTTCAGTAGAGATTGACAATTTCAGGACTGAAACCATCAGTGATTCTAGTGAAAGTGTATGGAGTTTAAAAACATAGTGGAGCACTTTTAGTTATTTATGAGGAGATCCTAAATACATTAACAAAAATAGCATTTACAGAAAAAAAAAAAAAAATTAATTAAAACATGTATTACCATTACAAGGTGGAGAAGAATGTTTTTCATTTGAGAGAAGAATCCAGCCTAAATATGCAGGGACAGTGTGTTAAACATATGTGAATGAAACAAAACACAACTCCGGGTATGTTTTTAATGAGGAAACAGCATTACAACAGATCAGAAAATAGCATATGGGACCTTTCAGCTCTTATTGATAGACTTTGTGGCTTGTTTTGACCGTGACCAGTACAACACAGAGCTTCACGTGTATTTTGAGCTCTCCTTAATTTATGCCACACACATTGGGTCATTGGGCCACGCATTGGAACATAATAAAGCTTTATCAGGATTTATTTACACAGTTCAGCAGAGGACACACGCTGTACTCACTCTCTGCTCTTGGCTTGTACACAGGAACCATAATGAGGGTAATAACATTTCACTCACTTCCTCCATACAGGCAGCTGCTATTCCTGCCCGGGTTTATTTGTGATATTGGCTAATACTATTCGGGTTCACATTGGGACATGGGGAATGTTCTAGTAACATCAGTAATGGAATTCAGTTTTGTATTGTCATTCTGAACATAAGTTGCATATTTGCGCTTCTGACTTCATAATATTTACTAAGATGAACAACTGTACAAGTTACAAACTGTACGCAAATGATGTTTTTGTGTGTGCACGCATCTCTTCCTCCATTGTGTTTTTAATGATTGCATGATGAGGAAGCATATTTTGGCACGCCCTCTTGCGCAATATGTGTTTTTTTTGTTTGCTGTGTAGAGATTGCATGTTCTCCCTCTGCTTGCCCTACTTTCATCCAGGTACTCTGTTTCCCCTAAAAATGTGCACAAAAACATTATTTTCTGATCTGTGTTATAATGTTTCTTCATCAAAAACAGACCTGGAGTTGTGTTTTGTTTTATTCACATAGTTTAACACACAAATTCTGCATACAGTATTTAAGATGAGTTCTTTTCTCAAACAATAAACACTCTGTTCCACCTCATGATGTCATGTGGTAATACAAGAAGTGCTCCACTGTGTCCTTAAACCACACATCTCCACTACAATCATTTGGATGATTTCAGCCCTGGAATTTCCAGTCTAAACCGAACAAACGGTAAAAGGTGGCTACTTCCGCTTCATTACAATCACATGTGGAGGCATGGTGGCATTTGCATGTTTCTCCCCGTATATGGATGGGTTTCCTCTGGGTGCTCCGGTTTCCCCCATCAACCCAAAACATGCTACGTGGGTCTCCAGGAAGAATACGTGATAACAAAGGTCAATTAAATATAATCAATCAATGAACCTGCCCAGGGACGACAGGTGAATATTAGCACTGGTGCTGCACCCTGGTACAATGCATCTCTCCTGTTAAGGTTAATGTAGATTGTGCACTGTCCATGTCTCATTAAATAAATAAACTAAACGAGGTGAAATAGAGCGTTCTGAGATTTGGAAATGTAGACAGACTCATAATAAAGAGTTACTCAAACATGTGTGAATGAAACAAAACATGACTCCAGGTATGTTTCTGAGGCGGTAACAACGTTCTTAACATGACTAAAAGCTCACAAGAGTCAATGTGTAACGTATGTCCTTTAGACAACAAGTTATTCAGACAAAATAACAAACTCAAGCTATTTTATCCTTTACAAAAAACATTCTAGAAATTGAGGACTAATTACATAGAGCAATGCACACAACAGGAATATCGGTAATTAACATGCTTGCTGCTCTCTACCTATTTACTGACAACATAAACATGAACACTCATTTTGCATCTTGTGTACTAGAAACCATCTCATTTCACTGCCAAATGTAGAAATATTCTCATCATACACTTACATAATCACTATTTATAATGGCAAGAAGCACAATTTCACACTATCTCCAGTGTTTAGAA